TGTATATATATATATATATATATATATATATATATATATATAATCACAAAAAATGTTGAGGAGGGGAGAAGTGGCCAAATAAAGGCTTGTCATGTGGTAGCAAGAAGTGGCGAAAGTTAAGTCGCGAGAGGGCGAATGCGAACAATTCAATGTTAGCAATGGTTGCAAATCCGTCTTCGAATCGGAACTATCAGATCGCCTCTGAGCTCAACCATCAGCCGGAAGACTCATTGAACAATGGACGGCGATCCCAATGTCAATCGAGACAACGTCAGATTCTGGCAGACGATCCATTGAAAGACGATAGATCTCCCCGACCTCGGTTGCCCTGCTGGAGGCTGGCAAAGCCATTCCTTCGGATTCAAAATACGACACAGCGCGCGAATCCCTTGAACGCCAGCTCATCAAGAGTATGAGGAATGACCGCGAGAAGTGGTGGGTACGAAAGTGTAGAGAGATGGAAAAGGCTGATTCAAATTCAGGAGCTCCGTCTTGAACGTTGGGCAGAACATTTTAAGGCACAGTTCAGCTGGCCCGTTTTGACACAAGACCTCCCACTACCAGCTTCAATTGTGCAAATACTGCCGGTTGACATCATCCATCCATCTGAAAGTGAGGTTACCCGAGAAATAAGCTATCTCAAAAGGTGTAAGGATTCCGGCCCCGACGGTTTGTCCCCATCGGTTTTTAAGGATGCAGGTTCAGCCTTCGCTTTCGAGTTAACAAAACTCCTGGGCTCAGTGTGGGAGAGGGAACGGGTTCCAACTGAATGGTGTCAATCGGTGATCATACCGATTTACAAGAAACATGATAGATCCCTTGTGAAAAACACAGAGGAATTAGTTTAATCAATATCGCTTCTAAACTTCCCGTCGGGATCATACTCCATCGAGTGTCTACTGCACGTGAAGAGTGCACGCGTGAGAACTAGGCTGGTTTTAGACCCGATCGAGGTTGTATCGGCCACATCTCCACTCTTCGTAAAATCGTAGAACACACACTTTTCGTAGACCCACCATTTCCATCTTCCTCGACCTGAAAGCGGTTTTCGACTCAGTCGACCACCCTAAACTCTGGCGTTACGTTTCCCTGAAGGGTGTGCCCGAGAAGTTTATTTCAATATTACAATCCCTCTATAATAAGAGCCGAAGCCGAGTCGGAGCTTACCGTACATTTTCACCCGAGTTCACTATAGAAAATTATGTTCGTCAAGGTTGCCCTCTCTCTCCTTTTCTATTCAACTTTGTTATATCCTCGTGCAAGGATAGTCTGTCTAAACCCCGTCTAGTCGGATTGAACTCACTTCCCGATAAACAAACAAAAGTACTTTTTGAGTGAGTTACCGAGCGAGGATTAAAGTTTCAGTAGGGTGTGGTGGGCCGTAATTAGACTCAGATCAAAATAAAAATCAAGCATTTTGATAGCTGTCGGATAATGTACACGAATATGATTAGTTGCATGCTGACAATGATCCTTCGTGATATGAGACTGGGCATCACTAGCAATTCTTTTCGAACGTGCCATCCTCCGGTCCTGTTGGTTCATTTGTCCTTCGGAATCACCCGTCATAATTTTGGCGTGCTGATTTCGGAGCTCCGTTATGATGTAACTTTTCGTAATCCTCCATATCATTGCTATCGGATTCAACGCTGGAGAATATGGAGCAAGTTTGAGAATGCTGTCTCTTCCTCCGTCCACTGAAGCATATGGTAAACCTCCATAGGTTACGCTAGTTGGAGCTTGTGTTATGGATGTCACCAGATAGGTTGCCACGACGTGCGATGTTTGCGGAGGCAGTTAGCGGTTGGAAAAAGATCAAGGGCGGTCAAACTAAGATCTGGCATGAGGATATGAAAACCCTGACCAGGAGACTGGCTCATATGGGTCCCGTCAGGCTCCCTGGCTGAGGGCCACGGGACAATTTTCACCGATGGTTAGATACACTGAACGATATGGCTGGGTGTGGCAAACAGTGGCGCTCATGCATCTACTCATTACTCTTGTAACTTCAGTCTAGGCAAATGCGCCATCTTCCGCTTGAGTTTACTCTCAACATTCTAATTATCAGTCTGCTGTTTATCCAAGTGAGCATCCAAAACCTGTACACGAAAGTGCATGGTTAATGGTTGTAGGAACTGACCTGACTTGACTGAGGTCATTCCGGTCATAGGGTTACTGTTAAGGGTAGCAGAGTCCTTTGGGAACGAGGAGTAGGAAATACTGAATTTACACTCTAGGCACTTCGATGAGTTTACCCTGAGACCAGATTGGTTGGAATACTTCTGGATATGGGATAGAGTTTCAATGAATGAATTGAATTCCGAACGATAGGAAATTGTCTGACACAAAACGATGTCACCAGAATACTTTAACGTGTGTACAGGGGTTGGGACCGAAATAGCACTAATGAAAGCAGAAATGTGATATGAAAATAGAACAGCACCTTAAAACACTCCAGAAATATCAACAAGAGGTTTCGATGTCCTCCTCCCCAACTAGATGCACTGGACCATTTATGTGAAACAATCAGAAAGCCTTGAGAGCAGCTGTCTCCCATCTCCATCCTTTCGTTTTTATTGCTCCCGTATTTCATTCCTTCCGTTGCTATATTGAATATATTTTCTTGCCATTTGCTCAGCAATAATATGATCAGTGACACTGAGCAAGGTGTTTAATGAAATGTGAGTTGGTAACACTCTTCCCGCGGTTTTTCTTCCTATAAGGTCCCAGCACCCAGTGTCATTTCACACCACAGTTTGTGGTTTTGAGATGCTTCATCACTCGAACCCCGATAATCATAGTTGTCGCTAACTTGGTCCTTATGAACATGCGATTCACCCATTCCATGGCCTTTTACGTAGGAAGAAGAGGTGCGGTTGTTGTTCAGTGTTATAAGGGTATTTGGCTTACTTAAAACGAAGAATAATCTATGCTAATATGATTGTGCGATTGCAATTATCTCATTCTCGCATGCTTTGCTTTTTCTACATCAATGGTGGTGATGTCCCGGTGTGTTAACGTCACCAAATTATCACCCCGGAGGACGTGTGCTGTGTGTTGTATAGCAGCCCCTTGATTGGCCGCTTCCTCCTTCCTGAAAATTGCATCATTGTGTAGTCAGTAAAAGGAAGTAAACATGAAAATGAAAAAGAAAAACGTTTCTTTGGTGGAAATACGCTCCC